AGAAGTTTCAGAATAATCCATTCAGCTATTTTCCAAAGAAAGAAAATTAGAAGATCATTTTCAGTAATTTAAGGATTTTTCAACTTTTTTCCAAGATTGAGGTTCTTTTTGGACCACTTATATTATTTCAATGCCTTAATTCTTCCACTCACGCCATAGTCCACCGATAGGACTCTGAGTAAAAAAAGTTTAAGAACATAGTTTTAGGTTTCGAGAAAATGGCGTCCCAAAACGGAAAATACTAGATTTTACGGGTTTTTTTTAAAAAATATCGGATACTTTTTCGACTACTTCCGGTTTTTGGACCGTTGTCGAGATAGTTTTAACAATTTGTTTAGATACTTAACTTTCTGTCACAGAAGTGTCAGAAACATCTATTCAGTATTTTTTTTGTAAAAAAGATAAATAAAAGTACATTTTCAATAATTTAACGATTTTTCAACTTTTTTCAAAGATTGAGGCCATTTTTGGACTCCTTATATTATTTCAAACCTTTTCCTTTTGGATTCACGTCACAGACTACCGATAGGACTCTGCGTGAAAAAAAGTTTCAGAAAAATCGGAGTTGTCGTTTTCGAGAAAAAGACGTCTAAAAAGTCTCCAAAAACGGAAAATACTAGATTTTCAGCGTACCACAATTTATTTTCTAACCATCGAAATCGTACCATTGAGATGCCATATAATAGTCCATTAATGGGGCTATCCAAAGACACTTTACTTCTTTTGGTCCGGTAATATCTGACCGAGAAATCCAGCTTTTCGAAAGAGCGACAATTTTTTAACCTTTTTTTCCCCATTTTTTGAATACTTCCGGTATGGAGATTATTGTCGGAATAGTTTTAATAACAAGTTTGGGCAATTAAATAGCGGCAGGGCTCTGTAATGATATATTACATTATCTGATCAGATAAAATGACCCTGAGAAATCCTATGTTCAAAGGTGCCAAAAATGAAAAAATGTCAAAATATCGAAAATTAAATTCAAATGAAATGAAATGAAATGGGGTTTAACGTCCTACTGTTCTGCTCCTAACCTGGGCTAATGAAGACGGGCATACGCCATACAGTGTGCTATGAGGGAAATTTTGCCCGGGCAGCGGCACTACGGCCTACTCTTATATCGAATTCCAACTGCCAAGGGATCTTTTACGTGCACGCGAAAATTAAATTTAAATAACTCAATACATATTATACATCGTTAGAATCGTAATTAGGTCAGCTATCCGAATCTGTAATCTTTTTGTAAAAATTTGTTTAAATAATAAAGTAATAGAGCATTTTGCAAAATTTCACGATTTTTCGACTTTTTTCGATTTTCTGTCCGTTTTTTTATCGTATTCCAGACATTTCAAAGTCTTATTGGATGGCATAATTCACAAGGCTATCGAATGGACTCTCGATAGAGAAAGTTAAAAAAAAAGTTGCGGTTAAGATTTCGAGATACAGGCGCCCAAAAACGCCCCAAATCAGAAAATACTTGATTTTCAGCTTGTCATATTTTGCTGCTTGGTCATAGTATCCGTATATATTGGGCATCATACGACAGTCCAACATAAAAAGTAAAAAAATGGTGATCTTGCGAAAAAAGTGATTACTACGTAAAATTTCGAAAAAAATAAAGTGTCATTGGATAGCCCGAACAATGGACGATCGTATGACATCTAAATGTTCCAGGACTTTCAGAAATATCGATTTATCCTTTCCCAAAAATATAAGGGTTGGGAAATGGGAAGAAAATTCGAAAAAAATCGAAAAATAAAGGGCAATAACTCGGAATGAAACTTATATTTCTGGTATCGGATTATTAATTATTAATTGTAAATATATATAATTACTATTCATTGTTTATTGTTACCAAGTAACCTTTAGTATATTTAAAGAGAAAAAATTGTAGAAAAAAATAGTTAGTCAAAAATCGGATAAATATTGTGACCTCTATAAGGGTCCACAACCTTGATATACCATATTTTTACGCTATTTGAGAACGAAGGGCGGCCATTTTGTCTGTCAGTTTTGGGCCGATTTTCACGAAATTCGACCTCAGTCGTCCTTAGGGTGTAACGGTGATATAATAATACGGTTTTTAAAATCGGATAAAAATCAGGGGCCATAATTCAGGAAGTTACTGTCCGATATGTCCTTAGGCTGTAAGGGTGATATAATAATACGTTTTTTTAAATCGGATAAAAATTATGACCTCTATAGGGTCCACAAGCTAAAAACACGATTTTTCTTACGATCAGGGACCATAATTCAGGAAGTTACCGTCCGATATGCGCGAATATCGAAAGGAACCGAGATCTTTGGGTTATAAACTGACATTTCAAGTTTCAACAAAATCGGATAAAAATTGTGACATCTATAGGGTCAACAACCTTGATATATCATATTTTTTACGCTATTTGAGAACTAACGGCGGCCATTTTGTCTGTCAGTTTTGGGCCGATTTTCACGAAATTCGAACTCAGCCGTCCTTAGGGTGTAACGGTGGATATAATAATATGTTTTTTTTAAATCGGATAAAAATTATGACCTCTATAAGATCCACAAGCTAAAAACACGACTTTTCGTACAATCAGGGGCCATAATTCAGGAAGTTACTGTCCGATATGCGCAAATATCGACAGGAACCGAGATCTTTGGGTTATAAACTTCCCTTTCAAGTTTCAACAAAATCGGATAAAAATTGTGACCTCTATAGGGTCCACAATCGGTGATATAATAATATGTTTTTTTAAATCGGATAAAAATTATGACCTCTATAGGGTCCACAAGCTAAAAACGCGATTTTTTGTATAATCAGGGGCCATAATTTAGGAAGTTAAGGTCCGATATGCGCGACGCGAATATCAAAAGGAACCGAAATCTTTGGGTTATAAACTTATATTTCAAGTTTCATCAAAATAGGATTAAAATTGTGACCTCTATAGGGTCCACAACCTTGATATACCATATTTTTACGCTATTTGAGAACGAGCGGCGGAAATTGCTGAAATTCACTAGGATTCTTCTCTTTACTAATTTAAATGATGCATGTAAATTTCATACAGATCGGCAGATAACTTTTGATGTTAGAGCATTCACAAAGTTCAATAAAGTGAAACAAGGGCCATAACTCTAGACGTAATAAACATAAATTGCTGAAATTCAATAAGCTTCTTCGTTCCACTTATTTAAATAATGCATATAAATTTCAGAAAGATCGGATGATAAGTTTTGGCGTTAGAGCGTTCAGAAGGTTCAATAAAGTGAAATAAGGGCCATAACTCTAGACGTAATACACAGAAATTGCTGAAATTCAATAGGCTTCTTCGTTTCACTAATTTAAATAATGCATATAAATTTCAGAAAGATAGGATAACTTTTGTTTGGCGTTAGAGCGTTCACAAGGTTAAACAAAGTTAAACAAAGTGAAACAAGGGCCATGACTCTAGAAGTAATAAACGGAAATTGCTGAAATTCAATAGGCTTCCTCGTTTCCCTTATTTAAATATTGCATATAAATTTCACAAAGATCAGATGTTAACTTTTGGCATTAGAGCGTTCTCAAGGTTAAACAAAGTGAAACAAGGGCCATAACTCTAGAATTAATAAACGGAAATTGCTGAAATTCAATAGGTTTCTTCGTTTCCATAATTTAAATATTGCATATAAATTTCACAAAGATCGGATGTTAACTTTTGGCATTAGATCGTTTACAATGTTCAACAAAGTGAAACAGGGGCCATAACTCTAGACGTTATAAACGGAAATTATTGAAATTAAATAGGCTTCTTCATCTCACTAATGTAAACATATATCAATTTTAAAACAATTGGATGATAACTTTTGGCGTTAGAGCGTTCACAAGAAATTGTAGACGATGGACGGACGGATGGATGGACGGACGGACGGACGGACGAAGGCGACAGCAATATACGTCCACATTTCTATGTGGGCGTATAAAAATTGTTGACTTTCCACGTTGATTTTAAAATAAATTCTAAATGACTTATACTCCTCAAACGTTTCTATTTGGAGTGATGTTTTGCGTAATGTATATTGTATTGTTCTATTTTATATGGACGGACGGACAGGGGCGACGACAATATACGTCCACATGAAAATGTAGGCGTATAAAAACCGGTCCTTGTGATAGATGAATTGAAGTTTGCTTTGGTTAGAAGGCGTTTCAGATTAGGTGGCTGTCTTTTTGATTTAATGAATTAAACATTGTCAAATTTTGTTCTAAGGTTGTCGTTTGATGCCAGGACTGTCCTGCTCCTGTGCATTGTTTTAAAGAAGTTGGGATATTGGGGGTTATGGGTAGCGACAAAGGTAATGTCTTTTACTTTGGTAGTCCTTACTGACTGGTTATCAATGGCCAAAGCCTTATTTATCCCAACTTCTATTACGTCATGGGGTAATGCTGTTTCAATAAATTTATTTTTGGCTCACCAAATCTGACAATTTGGAGATCTTCATCTATCACAATTTTGCATATTTTTCTAGTAGCTAAAGAAAAGGGTATATTATTTTTGGTATGGCGTAGATGACATGATTTATAAGAGTGATAGTTTTTGATATCTGTTTCTTTAGAATAAATATCCGTTATAAGGAGTTCTCTCCTTCGTTTCATTAGAGCGGCGAAGAATGCGATATGCAGATCGTTCGTTTCAATTGTGAATTTGATATTTAGCTCAAAATCATTCATTATTTGTTTTAAATCTGCAAGTTAGCAACGTTGCCAATTCGTTCATTCCAAATTCAGAATACATCGTCTAGGAATTGTTTCAACTGAGGTTCTAAATATAATATGTAATCCACGCCATGTTTAAGTTCTACAATTGGGTATAAATTTTCCATAAGTATGTGTTATCGTGTATGGACGCCATTGTCTATATGTATACTTTGTATTAATGGAAAGTTTTACATTGTACAACTTGTAAAAGCCAATAAACAATGACCTTTGTGACATACTCTATACGCTAATATTACTAATAATAATGTAGTCTTCATACCTTTAACCATAAAATACCAACAGCTCCTGTGGCAGCCATTACACCTATTTTACCGAGGAAGAGAACAAAATCACCTATACTATTAATAGCTGCTACTCGTAAACCATTGCTTAACAGAATTAAAAAAGCCTGGAAAAATATGTATTTTATATAAATCATATATATATATATATATATAGGTATAAATCGAATAATAATATAGGTAAATACAACTCCCAGCTAATATATATATATATATATATATATATATATATATATATATATAAAACTAAATTAAAGAAAGACATTTAATGTATGTCAGTATGAAGTGAAGTGGAGAATTTTTTACATGCGACATATTTTTATACGCCCATATTTTCATGTGGACGTATATTGTCATCGCCCCTGTCTGTCCGGACGTCCACAATTTGTTTGTGGACACTCTACAGGTCACAATTCTTATCCGATTTTGACGAAACTTGAAATATAGGTTTATTTCCAAAAGATCTTGGCCGCTTTCGATATTGGCATGTATCGTTGATTTGAACCGCTTGCAATTCTTCGGGATAGTGCCTTGTATGGGTTCGCCTCGTGGGTTTTCCCCGGGTCCTCCGGTTTCCTCCCACTGCTAAAGACCCCTACGCGCAAGCGAATTATTGAAATAAAATTAAACCATATGTTAGTCCCGAAATGACCTAGTTTGTGTCGAGTGGACGTTAAAACCCATTTCTCTCTCTCTCCAAAAGTTTGTAACCGGGACCGACGTTGGGTGCGACGTTAAACGTTTCCAGAGTCCAGCTCGGACAGTAACCTTTGTCGAAGGCACCATGTTTCGGCAAAGCCAAACGTACGGTCGTACCGATGTCCATTGTTCTCTTTTTCTTTTTGAGGGGGTGTGGGGGTGTTGTCAACATCCATTTGTGTTCCGGACGAACGTCTTTGGATGCCATACCGATAGTCCGATGTCGTCTCGCGTTGTGAGCTCGAACCAATTCGTCTAGCATGTCAATATACCGTTGTGTTTGTCAATGAGTCAAGTATCGCCACATGCAATCTTTCAGTCTCCGTTGAAATCGTTCCACCACACTGGCCATGGTTTCGACGTTGTGTGTCACAAAGAAATGAATTTTTTTCTTTTTCAGGTAAGCTTGCATTTTTCGATTGAGGAATTTGGTCCCTTTGTCTGAATTTGCTGGGGTTGTCGACTTAGAAAGACTCGACGAAAGGCGTCCAACAAACTATCTCCCGTCTTGTTTTTGAGGGGCAACTCCCAAGCGTACTTGGAAAACACGTCGATGACGCACAGCAAGAACCTATATCTCTCATTCTGTTTGACCAAGGCCGACATATTGCTCAAGTCGGCTTGCCACTGATGATTTATGCCGGCCACCACCAAGGTGGTCAAAGAGAATTTCTTTTTCAGTGGTTTGTGCAAGGTGTACGGCCTTTGTTGTTTCAACCATGTTTTGACTTTGTCCAAGGGCAGACCGGTAGCTTTGTGGAGACCCAGGGCTCCACCAAAAGCGACCAGGTGTTTCGGGTCGTAATAGACTTTCTTCTGCTTTCGTTCCATGTTTCAGCCGGTTTCCATGTGATCAGGCTATTTATAGTTTTTGCAAGGGGAGCCTCGGGTGTTGCGGCGCAACGGGAGTCCATGCGGGTGGCGTGGACAACACGTTCCATCGTTCTTGATTGCCGATGGCTTCGCGCGGTACGTTCGTGACTTTCAAACCTTGCATCACGCCAAACCATCCCAATGGAGCCTGAGTATTCTTTCGCCGACGAACCAAATCGTTCCCGATGTCGATGGCATTGGTGCCGGGTACGGGTACGCCATTCCGAACCAATTCCAAGTTCTCGTTCCACGACCAAGGTGTTTTCTCCTTCAGGTGTTTCAACAAAAGGCGAGCTCGATGTGGAAAGACCCGGGGGACCGACTCCAGGATGGGTGCCTCTGAAACCACGGTTGCTTCTTCTTGTTTTTGTTCGGGTGTTTTCTCGTCCGACAAGGGAATGACCTGCTTTCTTTTCCTTTGCATCGTTTGATAACGTTGTAACAACTGTCCGTATCGTTGCATTTTATTTTCCTCAATCAGTGTGGGGTCGTTTAACATGTGTTGCATGTCATGGTAAACATTTTCGACGGCCTGCTCCAGTGGATCTCGATCGTACGCAGATTCCACTGTCTGACTTTGATGGGTTTGACGTACTTTGTGGGATCGTCGAAGGGCACCAGTTTCATTTTCTTGGCGAATTTCATCTTTCGGAAAAGACCGGACCAACCGGGTGAAAAATCCCCCTTTTTGTTGCTTCAGAAGTCGCAGACGGGTCTTCCGAGGTGTTTTAGACGTGCCCAAACGTCGTAATAAGGGGGCGTCCTTTTTCAAGCAATTGACCACGTTCTCGGTCACAGGAACATTGCTGCGAATCAGGTTTCCAATACACTCACACACATTGTCGACGATGGGTTGACCCTCGAGCAGAAGAGGGCGGTCTTTGGGTGCAGTGTTCAACAGGTACCGCAGTGTGTCCATGACTGAGCTCGGGGCCGTTCTCTGGTTCCCTTTTATACCTTTTCTCTCCATAGGTTATCCCCCAAATAATGTAGATATCTCGGTGGCCATATCGTTCACGAAGGTCCGGTGCCAGGGTCGAGAACGTCGCTCTGGGAGGGTCGGAGGCGGGTGTTTCCGCTGCGTATGTGTGCATAGCTTATGTGGAAACCTGTTTAATGGTTTCATTGGTACCGGAAGTGACATGTTTAGGGTAACGTGGCACCGGTGAAACCCGTCATTACTGCATCGCAGTTCTAGTTAGGCTTTCACCTTCGGTGAAAGACTATTGTTTTTACTAGGTATTATTATTAATATTGTTATTACTAAGATTAATATTATTATTAGGCTTTCACCTGCTATTGTTATTACTAAGATTAATATTATTAAGCTTTCATATTACATATGAAAGCTTATTGTTTCTGTTAAGATTATTATTGTTATTTTTTTTTTGTGTTTTGTCCACAAATCGGATTTCTCAGAATCTAACCATAGGATCGTTCTGAAACTTTTACCTATCCCCCCAAAAATGGGTGGTGGCTGTTGATTAAATATATTTTCAAAACGTTTTACGAATCCGAAATCACCGAATTTTACGAAGGAATGCATTTGACCTACAATGCTGTAACATTGTGACTATTTGACCTATTTTACTAATTCTTTTTTCTTTGAGTATCTTGAAACATTTACTTCAAATCTGCAATTTCGGATTTTGGCATTTCGAAAATTCGTCGCTGTCATTTCGAACCGGAAGTTATTACCAATTTGACAACTTCTTTAATAGTTGTGCGATTTTCGTGAAATTTAGAATGTTAGTAGATCTTGCCAATGCGACTTCAATGATGTCCTTGGAAATTTTCTAAATTATCTCCCCTTGGTGAAATTAAGGATCAAAGTTTTCAAAAAAATCGTCGAAATATAGGTCAGAATGACCTAAAAAAAAAATTCGATACTAGACAAGTAATTACTGATTCGTACACAAAATATGGAGTTTGTCGATCGAACCGGAAGTGCCACCATCTTTAAACGTGAAAAATCAAAAAGGCTTTTTTGCTATTTTACTTACAGACTCGGGCGTCATATTTTCGGAATCCTGGAAGGAATGCCTAAAAATCTATCGGATCAGAATTTTGATTTCGGTCACGTGATGGTCACCATTTTGAATTGAAAATGAAAAATAGAAGCAATTTGAAGGGCCGGGACTTTGGAACACAAGAACTCTCCTTCTAATTAAGCTAGAATGTTCAAACTTGGTGTAGGCGTTCACTAGGTCAATGTCATGATTGAGTTCAAAGATGAGCATTTTTTGCCTAGGGTAAGCAGAGATAAGCAAGCTGATTTGTTGATTCTTTAGGGCACGATGACATTGGTTATAATGAATGGAGGGCGATGAAACTCTTGTCAATCGAGAGGCTAATAGCTGGCCTGTTGTGTGAAATCATTGTATCATTTTTTGAAAATGTCCGGGGTAGCCGAAAAAAGGAGATCGAAATCCAAAAAGTCGTATTTTTACGATTTGGGGCATTTTTAGAGGACGTGTAAAGTAAAATAAAGCATGCATATACTTATATTATTGATATTAAATATATCATATAAAAAACTAAACAATGAATCAGCTGTCATTGACAGATTTTATATTATAAGCATGGTCAGTGGAAGGTCAGCGTATTGTCTAACTTGAACTCACTGACTCCGTAACATTATTGTGGGTATGGTATAAGCTGAAATTGATGAGATGCACATATCTCGTATGACTATTTGGTACTTACAGTGTTAGACTTTGTCGTAACGTTACGGTCTCCATTCATCAAATCGTCGTTGGGGCTATAATACGATTTTGAATCAAGTTATTTATCACTGAGGGACTCAAAATTAGGTTTGATGTAGCTCTGCTCATTTACAGTGGCGAATTTAACGGGCTCATGGGTTCCAGCTCCCTCCTCTAGAAATTTCACAGCACCCGCATGGATTGTGGCTAATTTTGTGGCAGAATTTTATTTTTCTGGGGGAGGTACTTCTAAATGGCTCCGACACAAGTGCCTGAAATGCCATGAAATCACGTTTTCGGCCTCCAATTAAAATTTCTTAGCGGGAGAACCCCCTGACCCGACCCCCTTGCGGGGCTTCACGGTCGGTATCAGCCCCCCTCCCCACCACCATGGTTAATCCGGCGTTGATGTTCCCTCTTGTGCAGCTGCAAAAGAATGTACAAGTTCATTGCCTCATTGTCAAAGATCCCACTTTTCTACCCCTATTCGGGTAATGAGGTCGAGCGTATATTGTATAGGGGATATTAAACAAGCAAACAGTATGGCTGATGTCTCCCGCCAAAACCCCAAAGTAAAAGATGACACATTAATTTTCAAAAGTATCGAGCAATCAAACTATACTGTAAATTTCATCACTCTCTCTCAGATAGAAATCAAGGTTATCTTGTCCCAAAGCATCGACCAATGAAATTGCCAAGCTGTAGCTCAAAATGTTCAGTCAAGACCTGATGAACATTTACACCAAGTTTAAACATTCTAGCTCAATTAAAAGCTGGGTTGTTATGTTCCAGTACTTCATTATAACCAAAGTTATCATACCCCAAAGCATCAACCAATTCAAAGTCCCGGCCAATCAAGTTGCTTTGCTTATCCTGACTAAGAGAATGCTCATTGTCGAACTTGGTCAAGGTAATATGGTCAAGGTACTAATGTAATGAAACTATACACAAAGTTTCATCAAATTGCTTATCTCTGCTTACCCATTTTAATAGTCCCCTGCCAATCGAAAAGCCCCCCGACCCACCCACTCCACTCCCGTGTAATACATTAGGTTATAATTGTGTTACAAACGTATCACAAGGAGCATTTGAATATTCTCTCTGAGGCATCTGATACCACTTGTCATTGAGGTGTTCACACAGCCAACTCATTTTTGTTTGTTTGTGTTATCTTTATTCAGTATAAATCAACTAATACAAATGAAAAAAAGTACTTGGTTTAATGAGATTATCTTTTGAGAGTTGGTCATACAGGTATCACTAATCATAATTGCTCTTAACTTCAAATATACTATTCAAAAAAAGTAGGGGATATTTGATTTTGGGGGCATAATACTAAAATATGCAAATGACTACGAAAAAAGTCACTATAGAACCTAACAGAAGAAACATTTCCCGTTACATGTGACGCCCAAACGCACCAATAGCTACCGCATGGAATGCAGGTGATGCTTGGGATCATCATGGGGGTCCAACCCAAGATTTGCACGACTCTGACTTTGAATGTTACAGTCATTGTGGCATTGAATTCCAGGGTGGAAACATCAGTTTAATTGTTTTAGTGACCAGAAAACAAATTTTGATATGCGTCGGCTTACCCAAAATGAAAGGTTACGTGCCCTTGGCATGCTACAGATCGGCACAACACAGGCGGTTGTGGCGCGGACGATGAATGTTTCTCAGTCTGTCATAAGCAGGCTATGGTCCAGATACCGTGATACACAATCTGTACAGGACAGACCACGCTCAGGTCGACAACTCAAGCCCAGGATCGATTTATCCGTACCTTGGCCTTGAGAAATCGTGTCATCACAGCAAATCAGATCAGCGCTCGTCTTCAAACAGACACTGGTGTGAGAGTGAGTGGCCAGACGATTCGGAATCGACTGCATAGGGGTCACCTTCGCGCCCGACGTCCTCGCGTGATCCCTTGTTTGAGAGATCATCACATTCAGGCATGACGTCGTTGGTGTAGGGATCGTCAACACTGGGATAATCGACACTGGAGCAATGTGATGTTTTCAGATGAGTCAAGGTTCACTGTTGATTTTTTGGACAGACGTAGGAGGGTGTGGCGTCGTCGAAACGAGCGCTTCCAAGACGTTAACGTCATCAGACATGATCGATTTGGGGGTGGTTCTGTTATGGTGTGGGGAGGCATCACTGTTGCTGGAAGAACGGCTTTACATGTTGTTGCAGGGCGTGTTACAGGCCAGTACTACCGGGACAACATCTTGGCAGTCCATGTTGTGCCGTTCGCACGACGTCATGGCCGCCGTTTCATCTTCCAGGATGACAACGCAAGATGTCACAGGGCCAGGATCGTTACAGGTTACCTCCAACAACAGAACATCACCACATTACCTTGGCCAGCACTGAGTCCCGACCTCTCCCCCATCGAGCATGTCTGGGACATGCTTGGACAGGGATTACGTCAACGTCAACAACGTCCTGCCAATGTCCAAGAACTTGCTGCTGCGTTGCAACAGGAATGGGACAATCTGGACCAAAATGACCTTAGACGTCTCATTAGGAGTATGCCACGTCGGATCAATGCTTGTTTGGCAAACAGAGGAGGATTTACCCGTTACTGACTTGGTTGTGATGCTGTGGTAACTTTGCTGTTTGACCCCGGGTATCATTTTACCCTTATAATGGTCAGTCTGTGCCTTACTTAGTCTAACGATCATTTGGAATAAATCGATGAATGTGAACTTCATTTCATTTTGTCATTTGTTTCTTCGTCAGTTTCATTAGGTGACTTTAATAACACTTAAAAATCAAATATCCCCTACTTTTTTTGAATAGTATATATACACGATTATGTGTATTCTAAATATCAAATAAAACAATGATGATTTCTTTACAATAGCAGTACAACAAATTTATTCGCAATATTTTCCTTTGATCAGTTGATCAAAAACCTGATTATATTTACAATATATTCTAGGTCTTGCTAATGCCTTCCTGTCTTCATTAGCTGGTTTCTGCATGAAAATAAGATGTTAACCCCTGTGTAAGTGTCTTTTTCCTCTGTTGTACGAAATTAATGAGAGTAAACCAAGCTCCAGAATTTTGTTTTAATTGTGTACATGTATATGTTTATTTATATTTTTCAGCAAAGATGAGTAGCCCTCCGTCGAATATTAAACCACATACAATATATTCTGTGAAGATGTCATAAGAGAAAGAATCATAAATGGCCAGCAAAGTTGTCTTGTACAGAGAGAGAGAGAGAGAGAAATGGGGTTTAACGTCCACTCAACACAAACTAGGTCATTTTGGGACTAACATACGGTTTCAATTTTATTTCAATAATTCGCTTGCGCGTATGGGTCTTTAGCAGTGAGAGGAAACCGGAGTGCCCGGAGGAAACCCACAAGGTTGAGAAGACGCCTCTATCTCCATGCCACATACGCTCACACCTGGGATCAAAGCCACAGCCACAAGCCAGAGGTGACCGACCAGCTAGAGGTCGAAGCGAAGCACTCTAGGCCATCCCAACCCCCCTTTCTTGTACAGACCTGTGCATGTGTAGTCAATGTGAAAATGAAAAAAAAACTGTTAAAGAGACCGAATTTGATGTTAATACATTTAGTGACAGTGATGATGATAATGAAGATTAACTTTGATGACATTTGATGTGCAGAGTAACTGTTTAATTTTGATTTTCAATGATTGTTTCACTTTAATAAATAATTTCACAACTGTTCATCCTGTTTTCTAACCTTTCCCTTCATTCCAGCCCAGATACACAATTATTTTTTTTAACTTATATCTACATGTATGTTTGTAATTTGACCATTAATCATATCCGAAATAGTAGTTCACAGCTACATGTACAGTTGTAAAAATACTGTAGTGGCTAATTGAAAGGGAACATGTATGTGGGTTTAGAATGTTTATCTTAGTGGAAAAAAATCATGTGGTTCAATGCTTATAAAGTGCTACTGATCTCCATTATTTCAAAAGTATATCACTCAACTACTGTCAAACATATCCCCTGGCTAGAATATGCTACAAATCGACTCTAGCATGTTCCATACAAGCGATAATTTCTGAGCAAACATCCAACAACCAACCCTAACAGGCCCTTGAGATCCAACAAACAAAATAATTATTGGGCTTGTTTGCCCACACCTGGTCTTATGATTCATACAAGACCTGATAGTCTATCAATTACAGGCATTTGACAGAAAGGGAGATAATTCTTTTTTACCGTTAATGGATTTTGAGCATTTTTATTTACATCAAAATCTGTCCAATAAACTGTTCATTGCCAAGGATGAAGGCATGAGGTGTTTTACCAACTATTTAATTTTATGTCAACTTCAGAATTGTTAGTACACAAATAGCATTTATTTGACAATTTTGACGAATTTCATCTGGCCCTAAATCAATAAATTGCAAACATTTTGCTTGGAACTCCCAGATTTTGTCTTCCTGGCATCATAAGCTTTCCAAAAATGTATAGTTTTTCTTTTATGGAAGACCGTGTAGCGGAGTTGTGTTTCTAAGCTAGCTAGAAATTTTGGCTGCAGGCCTACACCTCCCAAGCTAAATTTCCCTCATGTCATCCTGTATAGCAAAGGCATATGCCTGTCTTAATTAACCCAGTACTAAACACAATTTACTTGTTTAATTTTTCCAGCATTTTTCAGGATAGCTGATGGGATGCGGGTCAAGTTATGCCACTTGTCTATTTAATTATTTACCAGTGAAAAATCGAATTAACTTCACCAAATTTTTACTCATTATAATGATTTTTTTTTTTCTGTTCATATTATTTCTATGACATGTGACAGTGACTGTGAATATGAAAGCTTTAATATCTGCTTAGCAGATCTAGTTAAGCTTTCATATTACATATGAAAGCTTATTGTTTCTGTTAAGATTATTATTGTTATTTTTTTTTTGTGTTTTGTCCACAAATCGGATTTCTCAGAATCTAACCATAGGATCGTTCTGAAACTTTTACCTATCCCCCCAAAAATGGGTGGTGGCTGTTGATTAAATATATTTTCAAAACGTTTTACGAATCCGAAATCACCGAATTTTACGAAGGAATGCATTTGACCTACAATGCTGTAACTCTGTGACTATTTGACCTATTTTACTAATTCTTTTTTCTTTGAGTATCTTGAAACATTTACTTCAAATCTGCAATTTCGGATTTTGGCATTTCGAAAATTCGTCGCTGTCATTTCGAACCGGAAGTTATTACCAATTTGACAACTTCTTTAATAGTTGTGCGATTTTCGTGAAATTTAGAATGTTAGTAGATCTTGCCAATGCGACTTCAATGATGTCCTTGGAAATTTTCTAAATTATCTCCCCTTGGTGAAATTAAGGATCAAAGTTTTCAAAAAAATCGTCGAAATATAGGTCAGAATGACCTAAAAAAAAAATTCGATACTAGACAAGTAATTACTGATTCGTACACAAAATATGGAGTTTGTCGATCGAACCGGAAGTGCCACCATCTTTAAACGTGAAAAATCAAAAAGGCTTTTTTGCTATTTTACTTACAGACTCGGGCGTCATATTTTCGGAATCCTGGAAGGAATACCTAAAAATCTATCGGATCAGAATTTTGATTTCGGTCACGTGATGGTCACCATTTTGAATTGAAAATGAAAAATAGAAGCAATTTGAAGGGCCGGGACTTTGGAACACAAGAACTCTCCTTCTAATTAAGCTAGAATGTTCAAACTTGGTGTAGGCGTTCACTAGGTCAATGTCATGATTGAGTTCAAAGATGAGCATTTTTTGCCTAGGGTAAGCAGAGATAAGCAAGCTGATTTGTTGATTCTTTAGGGCACGATGACATTGGTTATAATGAATGGAGGGCGATGAAACTCTTGTCAATCGAGAGGCTAATAGCTGGCCTGTTGTGTGAAATCATTGTATCATTTTTTATTCGAATTTCTCCTTTGATGTTTTCCGTGCCGACAAGGTTGTTTTCGAGTTTAGCTGGATTTGACTTCGCGCATGCGCTACGCTGGAACCAAAGGTACCATGAGTACTAAATTCCGGCGAGCAACTTTTCACGTTGGTACCTAGGTACCCTGAAAATTTCAAGGTGATACCTGCATTCGTTCATGTCGTTTGTTCTTGTCACCTGCCTTTCGTCGTTTTTTTTCTAAGTCAATTTACGGCTTCCATGAGGGGAAAAAAGTGGAATTTCGCCGTGACACCGGCACCGATTGTCCGAAAACCATGAAATTTGGACACAATACGTCCATTACCACCCCGGACTCTGTGCCTTACCCCCATTTTGATCCCATTAAAAAAAAAGAGTTTTAGCAAAAAAACGATTTTCGGAATTTAATATTGGTTTTAACCCTGTACCCAGACAAGATATAGATATTATTATAATCCCTATGAAATATTTTAATTATTTACTGCTATAATATGAATTATCACTTATTCCCCGTTAAATAAATATCGGTCACCGGGTGCAGCTGTACAACTTCAAGGACCCTGGCTTCAAGTCAATTTACGGCTTCCATGAGGGGAAAAAAGTGAAATTTCGCCGTGACACCGGCACCGATTGTCCGAAAACCATGAAATTTGGACACAATACGCCCATTACCACCCCGGACTCTGTGCTTTACTCCCATTTTGATCCGATTAAAAAAAAAAAGTTTTAGCAAAAAAACGATTTTCGGAATTTAATATTGGTTTTAATTAATTTTGAAATTGCAAATGCAAAGAGATTTTATCGCCTCTTCCGTATGTGATAGGTACTGGTACTATACACATTATCCTTAAAAGACAATTTTTTAAAATGACCGTAACGATGTATCGACACTAGAAACCGAAATCGCCTATTTTGACCTTTTTTGACTGCTGAGGCATCCAAATCTCTGGAATTTCTAGCGGTTGGCTGCGCCGCGATGATATTTATCACATACTAAATTTAGAAAAATCCTCAGATATCAAGAACAATAAAAATTCGATAAAATACGGCAATTTTTTAAGCAAAAAACCTTTGATTGTTGGGGGCGGGTTTTGAATTTATTTTGAACGTTCTCGGAATCCAACACTCTTCTATTTTTAATATGTGATAGCTAGAATCCCAAGGTACATTCTGTGCATATTTGAAGGCAATCGGAGCACAGGAACGTTGCCTGGGCAGAGCAAATCAAAGGCTTCTTCGTCTTATGACCTTAAACACTGCGTATAAATTTAAAGTCAATCGGATATTAACAGCAAAAGGGGGGCGACGACAATATACGACCACATTTCAATGTGGGCCTATAAAAAGTAAATCATTGCCAATAGAAAAGACCCACCTTTCCCCCAACAACAACCATGTAATGCACTAGCTATGATGGGGATTTTTCTGGAACACAGCGAAATGGGTCTTTTAAAATGTTCACAAGTGTATCACAAGGAGGGTTTGCTTCTTCTCTATGGGACACCCGATACCACTTCTCAACGAGGAATTCAGTCACACAGCCATCACCATTTTGTATGTTTGTGTAATCTTTATTCAGTATAAATCAAGTAATACAAATAAAAAAATACTTGGATTGATGAAAACATAATTTTTGAGAGTTATTCATACATGTAGCATAATTGTTCTTATTTAAAAAATGTACATGATTACATGTTTGTCATAAACAACATTAAATAAACAATCATGTTTCTTCACGATAACAGTAACAGTATAACAATTGTATGAAAAATATTTTCCTTTATTTTTTTTTTATTTTTAGAAAGGCCACTTCCTTGGTTTAAAATATATCATAAATTGTAGTTATCTAACATATACTTCCATGTATGTTTATCTAACAGATTACCACGTCGCCTTATCTAACAGAGAGTAAATGGTATACAATATCAAATTATAATCTACCAGCATTACTTGTTTCAGTAATTTAATCGTGTGTTATTCTTGTATTTAAGTGAGAAGAGTGAATAAACTATCATGGGTTGAAACAAATATATTGGAGTAGAAATAAACATTGTATATTGGTTTGCAAATAAATAATTGGTACAGATAATGCAATGTCATACAACATACTTTTTGGATTCGGTACAAATACAACCTTTTTATCATCAATGAAAATAATGTGATTTTAAAGTAACGATGAATAAAAAAACATTGCTTATATAAAGTACATGTAATTGGGTTCATTTAATTCACTTTGTATCTATAATATACATGTAGTATTAAACAATAAATATATTGATTAATGCCAATTCTATACAAATCTCATAGTTGTATTCATGTTTTCTTTACCATAACAAGAAACAGTACAACAGATTTAGTAACAATATATTCCTTTCTACATCCGTCAGAGTGGTTGATGATTCATAGATTCTAATAACCCCTTTTGAAGTTTATATGAAAGCTTTGATATCTGCTATGCAGATCTAGTTATTATTATTTTTTTTATTGGGGGAAGCTAGATCTCAGCAACTATAAGAGATAGAGGTTTGAAATTTGATTTTCTGTCGGAAAAGTGGTGTGCAGCTACTGCTTAAAGCTATTTCGAAATTTGTGCGCATAGCGGAAATGCGTCAAATCTTTAACGTGCACGAAAATTGAAAATCGGCCATTATTCTCTTAATTTTCAATTGATTCTTCAGATATTTACATTTTTGGATAGCTGGAGACATTTCTGAGCAGATAGCAGTTATAAACTGTGGAAATTAGAAACTTTGTCGCTCTCATTTTTTTGGTGAAAAATGGAAAATTTT